ACCAAGGAGGATATTCAAGCAGCCAACAAACATATGAAGAAATGCTCACGATCATTAGCTATTAGAGAGATGCAAATAAAAACAACAATGAGGTACCATCTTGCTCCAGCACTAGTAGAAAAGTTCAACAAGACAGAAAATAACAAATGCTGGTGAGGTTGTGGAGAGTTTGGGACTCTCATACACTGCTGGTGGGACTGTAAAATGGTACAACTATTGTGGAAAGCAGTATGGTGATTCCTTCATAAGTTGGGATTAGAAATACCATTTGACCCAGCCATTCTGTTACTAGGTATATACCCTACAGAAGTGAAAGCCATGACAAGAACAGATATATGCATGCACGCCCATGTTCATTGCAGCACTATTTACAATAGCCAAAAGATAGAAACAACCTAGGTGTCCATCAACTGAGGAATGGATAACCAAAGTATGGTACATACACACAATGGAATACTATGCAATGCTAAAGAACAATGAAGAATCTTCAAAACACTGCATAACGTGGATGAACTTGGAGAACATTATGCTGAGTGACATAAGTCAATCACAAAAGGGCAAATAATGTATTAGTCCATTATTGTAAAAGTTAAGGAAAGGTTTATCTATAAGGAAATTTTCTTTATTGGTTACCAGGGGTGGGAGGGGAGGGGAGGGAATGCTGTTAGATAGATAGAGATAAATATTAATTTGAGTGAAGAGAAGGGCAATGTACCAAATGTGAGTGACTAATATGGCGGCATTGAGGATGAGAAAGACGTAGAGAGGTACATGGGAGGTACAGACAACAAAGATAAACCCTTTTGCACATACATTCCTACATTGCCAGTGAAAGCAAACATGGGTATATGGGTGGATAGATGAGTGGACAGGCTGAACTATTAGGCATGTCTATGAAATGGGGAGTGTATCCAAGAACATGTATACGGCTGGTAGACAATGGTCCTATAAGTTTATGTGAATGATCAGAATTCCTAAGTGTATAGTAGAGCTGACAAGGGGCAAGGTTGTAGTCATGGCTTGGTCACAGCCAGGTACCCAGAGGGACTGAGTAGTTGAACCTGCGGGCTTGGGACCATAGTCTCAGGGAACTTCAAGCTTAATTGGCATAGCATACTATACAAAACATTGTTCCACCTCCTACTTTCGTGAGTAGTGACTAGGATCTTAAAAAGCTAGCAAGCTGCCATCTAGATGCAACAATGCATCTCTCCTCATCCAGAGCAAAGAAGAATGAAGAAAACCAAAATTCTTGGAAACAATTAGTCCTAGTGACTGGTACACCATCCAATCTGCAGCCTATATGACTGTGAGACCAGAAGAACTAGATGGTGCCCGGCTACCACTGTCATCCACTTGGAAGGGGATCTATGTAGGAGATCCTTGATAGAGAGGGAGAACAATGTGGAACAAAACTCAAAATCATTTGAAGGGGGAAAAAAGGGGGACCAGGTTTGCTGGTCCAATAGAGCCTGGTGGAACCACTGAGACTATGGCCCCTAGGTGCCCTTCAGGTCTGGAATTGAACACATACCCGTGGTTTCCAGTCAAACAAAAGACAGGCATATGAGTTGAACATTTACCTCAGGTAGATACACTCCTTGAAGAGAACAATCATGGGAGAAAGAAGGGCTGTTTACGCACAGGGAGACAGTTCAGGGGGCAGGAGTCCACAGAGGGATGGACATTGGGAAGAGGTAACTATGGGGAGGAAGTGGAAGGGGAGCTGTTGCATTGTGGTAAACTGTGGTCAATGTCATGAGACAAAGTGTAAGTGAACTGCTGCATGGAAAGTGAATTTGCTCTGTAAATCTTCACCCAAATCACAATAAAAAGAAAAGAAACTGTGGGAATGGTGTGTTTGCTATGTGTATAATCTCAACAACAATAAAACAAATAAAATTTAAAGGGAAGAAAAGGAGCCCCCCCCCCCCCCGCCAAAAAAAAAACAACCCCAGAGCCTCCTCTTGCCCCTCCACCTCCCATCATATGGGGTAATGTTGAGAAATGGCTGGCATGAGGGTGGCACTGGGGAAGTTTAGCTTCTAAGATCTCCCCTTGTCCCACTGACTATCTGTGAATTAGGCTTTCTTGACTTCCATGGTATTCTGCCACCTGTCCTAAGGGTCTGGGTAAGACCAATGGTTAAGTACTCAGCTACTAGCCAAAAGTTTGGCAGTTGGAACCCACCTAGAAACACCTCAGAAGACAGACCTGGCAATCTGCTTCTGAAAAGTCATAGTCTTGAAAACTCCCCAGAACAGTTTTTCTCTGCATGGGGTGGCCATGAGTCGGAACTGACCCAATGGCAACAAACAACAAGAGTATGCCAGTTAGTTATTATCCATCACAATGTATTTCAGGCACTGAAGGCCCATGACTAAGGGATACAGGTCTTTAAAAAGGAGATTGAGTTGGCTCAGGCTAACACCCTGTGGTCCTACTAAACCGATGGAGAAGGGTCCCCTCACTCAACTCCAACTTACCGAAAAGTCAGCATCCTCAGATCTCAGATGATCAGCAATATAGTGCACTCCTTCTAGTGCCTTCTGCATGCTAGGTGACAGCAGGAGCCCACTCTCCTGCACTGGGGCCTCAGCCTTGGCACCTGAGGACCCTGGATGCAGGCCATCATGGCTGCAGAGGGCACCCATTGAGGGGGGTGAATGACCAGCACACACCCATTGATCTTCATCCTCCTCTTCCTCCTCTCTTTCCTCTGTATCCAAATTGGTCTCCAGCCAATGAAAGGAGGGGCTGAGCTTCAGGCCTGGGTGGTCCCGGAGCTCCAAGGGTGGCAGGGGCCGGTTCATCAAAAGCCACTGAGGCACACAGCCCAGAAAGGCCACTCGCACCCAGTGGGGCATATTGTGGGTGCTAGGGGAACGGTGGTGGACATTGAGCACAAATACAGTGATGACAATAGAAAGGGTGACAAAGATCATGGTAAAGAGCAGATATTCGCCAATCAGTGGAATGACCAGGGAGGTGGAAGGGATGATCTCAGTGATGAGCAGGAGGAAGACAGTGAGTGAGAGCAGCACAGAGATGCAGAGAGTGATCTTCTCACCGCAGTCCGAGGGCAGGTAGAAGACAAGTATGGTGAGGCAGGAGATGAACAAGCAGGGGATGATGAGGTTGATGGTGTAGAAGAGGGGCAGCCGCCGAATGACAAAGTAGTAGGTGACGTCGGGGTAGATCTCAGCGCAGCAGTCATACTTCTTGCTGTTGTATGTCCCTGTGGCATTGATGATGGCCCACTCTCCACTCTCCCAGTAGTCCTTCAGGTCCACTGTCTGCTCCATTTGCTCCAGGTCGATCTTGGCCTTGTCATAGGTCCAGGAGCCAAACTTCATCTTACAGTTCTGCTGGTCGAAGGGGAAGAAGGTGACATCAATGCTGCAGGAGCTCTTGTAGATGGCAGGGGGCACCCAGTGCACTATGCCGGTGGAAAAGAGGTGAGCCTTGGTCATGTGGGTCACTGCAAATTCTCCATCTGCACTGGGGAGAGGAAAGGAGTTGTAGGGTCTTGCACACCCCACCTGCTTGAGCCAGGCTGCTCCAGGTAGGTAACTGACAGGAGGAACGCTAACACCAAAGTCAGACCTCACCAAGTTGTTTGAGTTTTACGTAAGTGCATAAGACTTGCCTAGCACACAGAAATTTATAGCTACTGAAGTTGTCTTTTGAACGAGCATTTTTCAAAACACAGTACAAAATTTTGAAGAATATACTAACGTGATTGACTGATTTCACTCAGCATAATATCCTCTAGGTTCATCCATATTGCTGAGTAAAATTAGTCAATCACATGAGGACAGATATTGTATGAGACCATTTCTAAAAAAATCATGAAAAGGTTTACACATAGAAAGAATCATTTTTTTGAAGGGTACTTGGATGGGAGGGTAATTCACTAACCAGAGGGTAGACACTTATTAACTTGGGTGAAGGGAAAAGCAGTATACAATAAGGCAGAGGTCAGCACAAAATAATCAAGGCAAAGGAAGACACTGGGAGGAACACAAGAGCTAAAGGCAACGAAGGTAAATACTATTACATACACAATCCTGCCATGTGGTAATAAAATAAGCTACAAGTAGATACACAGACATTCAAGCTAAAGAAGGGAGGGAAGGTGAATGGGACTATATCCATGAATTTTCATACAGGTTTGACAGAGGATATTTCTACATACGTGTTTACATGTGCTGCAAACATATCCATGAATGTAGTAGGGCATACAGGGGGCAGAGTTACGAAAACTTAGCCATAACCAAACACCTTGAGGGAATGAGTTACTGGGACTGTGGGCCTGTGGGCCTGTGGGTGAGGACCACAGTCTCAGGGGACACTAAGGTCAACTGCCATAACAGCCTATGAAGACAATGTTCTACATCTACTTTAATGTGTAGATATTAATAGCTTGTGAGTAGCCATCTAAGGTGCAGTTATTGGTCTCTCCCTGACAGGGCAAAGAAGAGTGAAGAAAAGCAAAGTCACATGGAAACAATTAATCCAAAGGACTGATGGACCATGTGAACCCTAGCCTTCATGACCCTGAGACCAGAAGAACTAGATGGTACCCATCTACCACTGCTAACCACTCTGAAAGGGATCATAATAGGAAGTCCCAGATAAAGTGGGAGAAAAATGTGAAACAAAACTCAAAATCATAAAAAAAATATCAGGAAAAAAAAATATATCAGGCTTACTAGTCTGACAGAGACTGGTAGAACCCCCAAGACTGGCCTTAGCCACTCTTCAAGACCAGAAATAAACTCACACCCATGGCTCAACTTCAGCCAAATGACAGACAGGCCTATAAGGTGAACAACAGCACCAGGGAGGCACAAACTCATTAGAACAATCAAACATGGGATCAAAAGGGCAGCATTTGTGAACCTACTCCTATGGCTTCCAGACACACAAAAGACAGGCATATGAGCTGAACATTTACATTAGGTAGATACACTCCTTGGAGAGATCAATAATGGGAGAATAGAAGGGCTGTGTGTGCACAAGGAGACAGCTTAGGGGCCAGGAGTGCATGGGAGGGAAGGACGCAGGGAAGAGGTGGCTATGGGGAGGAAGTGGGAGGAGAGCTGTTGCCTTGTGGGAGATTACAGTCAATGTCACAGGCAAAGTGTATGTGAGCTGCTGTATGGAAGATGAATTTGCTCTGTAAACTTCACCCAGATCACAATTTAAAAAGGAGGGGGGCAGCATATGTCCAGTGATAAAGCTCAGAAGGCAGGAAGGGATAGGAAAGAAGGACAAATGGCAATGATAAATACAGGAAGGAAGTGGGAAGAGTGCTGTTACATTGTGAGGATTGCAATCAATGTCACAAAGCAAATGTGTATGAATTGCTGAATGGAAAACCAATGTGCTCTATAAACTTTCACGCAACTCACAATTGAAAGGAAAAAAAGAATATAGTATAATACCAAGGATTTTAAAAATAACCACTATTAATATTGTGATGTATTTCCTTTGCCAAATACAATGTTTTTACATATTTGTGATCACAGTGTATAAGTGTTTTTACTTCTTTAATATTTTATAGTGATTACTTATGAGTATACGTTCTCTCACCTTGGGACTGTGTCTCACTTAGGGTCTTTAGTTCCTTGTATAGAAAAGACCTTGTATCTTTGCTAGTGAAGCTCATTTGTTGATTCTATCCACTTAACTTGCAGTTTTGAGCCAGCTTCACCTACAAGGGCCTCTATCAGAGGTATGGGGGCAGAGAAACGTAAGATCCAATCCCTGCCCTTTTAGGAACAATGGACGCAGCCATAAACAACTACAACACAATGGAGGCAATGTGGCAAAATGCTATGAGAGCGGTCCAACTGCCCCACAAGACTTATGGGAGAAAACTCCCATCCTGCTGGAGCCAGCAAGGTCATTAGTTGTCATTGAACAAGGCTTTGACAGATGGTAGGATCTGATGACGTATAGATAGGGTGGAGAGTATACCAGCAGAAGGACCTGCAAGAACAAGAAACAGGTGGGGAAGGACAGAGCCCACATCCTGGGCTCAGGCTGGAAAGAGGATGTGAGTGGGGGTAAAGCCAGAAGGGCCCCACGGTACTAAAGGGCAGAGGCTTTGAGGGGAGACACTGTTTTTTCAACTGGGGAGAGGGGTGACACTGGCTTCCGGTGCTGCATGAAGGAAGAATTGGAGAAGCTAGTCAGAGTCAAAGGAACTCTTGTGGTGCAGTGGTTAAAGCATTTGGCTGCTAACCAAAAGATTAGTGGTTTGAACCCACCAGCCACTCTGCAGGAGAAAGATGAGGCAGTCTTTTTCCATAAAGACTTACAGCCTTGGAAACTCTATGGGTTATTCAGTCAGGAGCCCCTGGGTGGTGTAAATGATTAACACCCTGGTTGTTAACCAGAAGGATGGCAGTTCAAATCTACCCTGAGTCTCCTCAGAAGACAGTCCTGTTGATGTACTTCCAAAAAATCAGCCACTGAAATCCCAACAGAGCATAGTTCTACTCTGACGCACACATGGGACTGCCACGAGAGAGAGTCAACTTGAGGGCTACTGGTTTGGATTTTTATATTGAGAGTGAAGGATTAATTAAGCAGGTAATGCACTGGGCTAGCTGTGAAGTAATAATGACCTCCCTCAAACCCACTGTTACTGAGTCGATTCCAACTCAGAGCGACCCTATTGGATGGAGTAGAACTGCCCATAGGGTTTCCAAGGCTGTAAATCTTTACAAAAGCAGAATGCCTCATCTTTCTACCATGGAGCAGCTAGAGGGTTCAAACTGCCAACCTTTTGGTTAGCATCCCAACTTTAACTTTAACCACAGCACCATCAGAGCTCCTCAAGACCTCCCCAGGGTAGTCAAATAGAAAAGAAGAAAAAATTAAGATGACAGAGACTATAAGGACCCACAATGGGAAGTTAGAAAGGAGGAAGAAGCATGTGGGAGGTTAGAAAGGAGGAAGAAGCAAAGACTATTTTTCAGCACTAGCTTTGGGGATCTAGGAACCCTAATGATTCATTAAGTTGTACTTCTCCAGAACCTAAGATCCCTTAAGTATTGCCACACCTTGGCTCTGTGAAGTAGTCTTTAACGTACAATCTCTCTCTCTCGAGAATTCCCACAGTCAATCCTAAAACTCAGAGGACCAGAAGAATACTTAGGAAAAGACAGATTTCTTTCCTATGGAGTAGTTTCAGGCAGCAGTTATATACAGGCTGGAAAAAGGAACTTTGGAAAAAAGCAACAAACAGATCAAGATCAGCAAGAACAAAAGTTAAAAAAAAAAAAAAAAGGCATTTCTGTTATCACATATAATTACCACAAGATGGCAACATGCGCCCCATTTTGAGGAAGGCCTGGGAAAGAAAAAACGCAATTTTCTTAATACCTTTATTGTTAACCTGCAGTGGAATGTCTGTGTGGAGGGAGACCCTTTTTTAAAAGTCTGTAAGATTTGGAGTTGGACTTTTGTCCTAGCAAAAGATTCTCTTGTTAACATCAAGTAACACTGGCTTCAGCTTCATTTGGGAATGTTAAAGCTCGAGGTCCTATCTGATACTAGGAATTTGCTCCCGGCCTCTGCAAAACCTGACCCAGGAAACAGAAACAAGGATCCTGGGTGCTGCTGTGGGACACGGAGCTATGGGGTGAGGTGGGACATCTGTGAGTCCTGCAACAGCAGCAAACGCCAGTATCTGCTCTATTAGCCCTCCCAGGTAATGCAGTGATAAACACGTTGAGGTGAAAGGGTTTTGGGTCTGATCAGAACTGGATAATATAAAGAAATCATTATCATTCCGTTCTGATCTACCTGAAGTGGAACTCAAAACCCAGAAATGGTTCATTTTCTCCTTTGTTTTATTAAAAAAAAAAAAAAAGTTTTCAAATAGGGTCAAATAAATTGCAAAATGCTCTGTTAAATGGGTTTCTTTACTGTAAAACTTCTAATAATATTTAATTAGTGTGCCTTGACATTTTCCAAAGGATTTGGGATTATGGCATTCAATGTTATCCACAATTATTTGTGCACAGAACCATTTTTCATACTTATTTTTATCTCAAAGAGCTAAAACCAGTTGCTGTTAAGTAGATTCTGACTCACAGTGACCCTATTTGGTCAGAGGACAACTATGCTTCACAAGGTTTCAGTGGTGGTGATCTTTCAAAGGTATGTCACCAGGCTGTTCCTCAGGGGTGCCGCTGAATGGATTTGAACCAACCTTTCAATTAGTAGCCAAGCATTTAACCCTTTGTGCCTCTCAGGGTCTCCAGTGATCCTTAGAAACATATTTAGACAAACATAACACTAAACATATTTTAATTTTAACTTTTTGATTTCTAAATGGAGAATTACCTGATAGCAAACACAGTTTAATTAAAGTATAGATCTCTATTTTTTTTTTTTCTGTAGAACATTTTGCTTTTTGTTCACCAGAGTTCTTTTCAAACTCCTCTGTTTTTACAAACTTTTAGTCATTATGCTTATAGACTAATAATATTTGGTCTGGAATACAAGGCTAAAATTTTGAAAAATACACATATCAAGTGTGTTTAACCCCTTAGAAGATGTGTCTACTGCATGCTGCTAACTGATTCCAACATTTTTCCACACACAAACTTTTAGGCATTATTTTCAGAACATGCACCATATTAGAGGGGGAAAAAAAAAAAACCTTCAGTATTGACACATCTTTGTTCTACTAGCACACTTCCAGGCACTGATATATAGCAGATGTTCAATACATTTTGGTTGTATGAGTGAATGAGAAAACAAAATAAATAAGGGAATAAGAGAAATGGAAAGAAAAAAAAATTCTTAGCCAAGCCCGATTTGAGCCCAAACTGACTGAGAGAAGCAATGAAGCTGAGCAGCTAGGCCAAGCCCCTCCCACATTCAACTCTGTAGAGACTCCTGTCACCATCCCCTCGGCCAGACTCCCAGGACAGCAAGGGCTTCCTACTTGTTGTAGAGGACAAGGTCCGGGATCCAGATCATCTCGGAAGGGACCCGGAGGGATGTGATGTTGCCGAAATCGGCCGGGTTCCAGCGCAGCTTGTAGTCGCTCCACTCCTGTGCACAGAGAGGAAGGTGCGTCCCTGCAGGCTTGGTCTCAGCACTGACCGCCGGCAGCCTGGGGACTGACTCTCTGAGGCTGGGCCTGAGAAGCCATGTGAGGACCACCAGGAGCTCCTCCCCCAGCCCCACGATCAAAATGGCTCTGATGCCTGGAAAGGGCTCTGGCCTAGGAATCAAGATCCGGCCTAGGATAATCAACCTGAATCTGACTTTGGTTCTGAAAGCCTAGCATCCGGAGAAACCCTCAGTCCTGCGAAAACCGAGACGATTGGTCACCCTAGTCAGACCACTAGTCCTCATTCTGCCACTCTCCAGCTGCACAGCTTCAGCAAGCCACTTAACTCCTCTGTAGTGTTGGCATATTTTAGTCTGGCCATTCAGTCTAGGAAGAGCCTCAATATAGAGCTGGTCAGGTAACGCTGGGCAGCTCCCGGTATTTCTCCATTTAACAGATGAGGAACCGAGAACCGGAAAGGTAAAAACAACCTGCTGGAGATATACACCTGAGAAGGGGAATTAACCAGTGACTTTCAAACTGTGCTCCAGAGAGCTCCATGTTGGGTCTCAGTGTGTATATGTGTGTGTGTGGGGGGGGGGGGGATAAACTCTGGGCCCCGCCTCTGTTTCCATCAGAGCAGCTCCAAAAGAATCTTTCTCCCCGCATACCACAGGTCAGTCATTACTCTCTCTAAGACTTTTCTTTGGCATAGTGCCTAAGGCATTTGACTGCTAACCAGAAGGCTGGCAGTTCAAACCCACCAGCCACTCCTCAGAAGGAAGGTTGAGCAATCTACTTCGGTAGTGATAACGCCTCGGAAACCCATGGAGGGGTCGCTATGAGTCGAATCCGACTAGAAGGCAGTGAGTTTGCTTTGGAAGGCTTTTCTTTATGGTCTTATTGTAAGTTGTGATTACACATTGATTTTGAGTTTTCAGGAAGTAGGCACATGAGAAGACAACTTTTTGTCTACCTCAGTGCTTCCCAAACTTCAAGCACTTGAGTACCAACTTCATAATTTTTGCCACTTACGTGTACCACATGTACTATAACATAGTTAATATTTTTCTTTAAGGAGTCCCTGAGTGGCAGAAACGGTTAAGCATTTGACTACTAGCTGAAAGGTTGCTGGTTCGAATCCCCACACACACACAACACAGAGGTGCCTCGGGGTTTAGGCCTGGAGATCTGATTCTGAAACATCACACCTTTGAAAACCCTATGGAGCAGCAGTTCAACCCTGACACACATGGGGTTGCCATCAGTCAGAATCAACTCGATGGAAACCCACAACCACATTTTTCTTTAAATTAGTTCACTGTTTTTAAACTTACATAAATTAATATTTTAATTTTATATCACTGATAGCAATGGGAAACTAACAGCATTTGAAACAATTTGCTATTACTAAAGAAAGGTTTGTGAGCCACCTGAATTCATCTCACCAAACCACTGTTGGTACCCAAACCAGCCCTGGGAACATCTTGGTCTAGCAGTGGTATTGGCTAATCATCTGGAAGGTGGTGGACAGAGGAATCACTTGCAAAATGGAAAAGACATATCTGTAAATTTGTAAATCTGTCAGGACTTCTCAAGACATTGACTAACAATTTTCAAAGTGATCATCTTTATCAGTGTGCACCTTTTTCCCCAGTACATGGTCTGTCAAGCTTTCAGGTTCTGCCAGCATTTCTGGGGCACCCACCCAAGCAAGGTTGCATCATTCAATTCCTCATAGGCACGTGGGAGGTAGGATGTATTATTCTGATGCTGTTGTCATTGTTCTTAGGTGCCTCTGAGTCAATTCCAACTCATAGCGACCCTATGTACAACAAAACAAAACACTGCCCTGTCCTGCACCATCTTCACAATCCCTCCTGAGCTTGAGCCCATCATTGTAGCCACTGTGTCAATCCATCTTATTAAGGTTCCCATATTACAGAAGAGGAAAGGAGGCTCAGAGAGCTTAAGTAATATGCCCAGTATCCGAAGCCGACTCCCATTCCAGGGCTTCTCCCTCTACTTCCTACCCTCCACCCCTCTCTATGGGGATGATTAGGGCAACTCAGATCAGTGAGTTCTGCCCCATTCCTGCCTCCACTGAGGGTATGGCCCTCACCTGCTTCAGCCAGACGTTGGTGGTCATCATTTGGTTCTTCTCATCCTGGCAGGGAGTAGGGAGAGAGTAAGAACAATTAGAATGACAGAGCCAGCCTTAGAAAACAAAGGAGAGTGGGATGGCTGTTTCTGGCACCTCACCCACTGGAGGAAATTCTTAAAGGACATCTCAAGTACAGCCCACCCACCACTCCCACCTGACACTGCCACCCTGGCTCAGACTCTCCAGATGCACAGGCTACTTGGGTCCTCTTGGCTGTGTCAAGTGGAGCAAGCAAGGCATCTAGAAAGCCCACTGCTGCCCTTCAACCCCTTCCCTGGAGGAGACTCCAGGGCTGAGAGAGAGGGAGGGAGAGGGAACAGACTTGGGAAGAGCATGGACTAGATCACCTCTGTGGGCCACCCAGCCTGACTGACAAGGCTGTAACTGAGGTGGCCTGACTGAGGCTGGAACTGGAGATAAAAGGAGGACACCGGGAATGGGGCCCAGACTGGTCTGGGGGCTGATCCTGAGGCAACGAAGGGTGGTAGGAAGTACACACCACATCGATGAGCTGGGCAATGGACAGACCGAAACGCACGATCACAACATCTGAGGTGTTGGGCACTGGCCGTGCCCAGCGGTTATAGCCCTTGAAGAGGTGTTTGAAGAGGCGGTCCTCGGCTTGTGCATGGGAGCCTCGCTGTCCCAGTGCTACAAAAGAGAGAGAGAAGAGTGGGGTCTCCAGGAGTGCACTCATCATGACTGGGTGCTTGGCTTCTGTTCCTTCTCCCCTCAAGTCAGAGCCACTCAACCTCACCAAGCCTCAGTTTTCTCATCTGAGAAATGGGGATGATAATCCAGATCCTATCTCAAAACACTGTTGAGGATTAAATCCAATAGTGCAGATCAGAGCTTGGCATAGAACCTAACACATGGTTCAAGCTCATGAGATGTCAGCGACACAAGAAGTAGGGGAAACAAGTGCTAGAGAGAGGTGCAGAAACAGGGAATGGGGAAGAATTCAGACCTAGAGACAAGATTCAACCTTGAACTGAAGAGCACAAGTGGCACAGTGACATGATGGAGACACCTGGTCTGTGTGGGTGAATTGGAGAGAGATGAGCTTCCCTCAGAACCTGTGTCTGCATCAGTTACAGACATCCCTTAGAGACATTGCAGGTTTGGTTGGAGATCTCTGCAATAAATATAACAATAGAGTCACCTCCATTTTTTGGTTTCTAAGTGCCTATAATAGTTACTTTTGCACTATGCTGTAGTCCATTTAGTGTGCAATAGTATTATGAAAACATTTAAAATATTGTGAGGATTATCAAAATGTGGCACAGAGACACCAAGTGAGCACATGCTGTTGGAAAAATGGCGCCAATAGACTTGCTCGACAGGGTTGCCACAAGAAAACAAAAAAAAACGCATTATCTGCAAAGGGCAATAAAATGAAGTATGCCTGTACTGTGGACCTGGGCAGCAGTGGGGCAGCCTTTAGATGACTTACCAATGCTAGCACGTCTGATTTTGAGGCTAGGAAATGCTTTGCCATATTGGGCATTTCCCTGATTTTTTCTTAAACTGTTGGCATTTGTTACTTCTGGGGCAGATGATAAGGTCTGGTGGCATCGTGCCTAAGGCATTTGACTGCTAACCAGAAGGCTGGTGATTCAAACCCACCAGCCACTCTGCAGAAGGAAGACTGGGCAATCTACTTCCATGAAGATTTACCACCTCAGAAACCCAAAAGGGGTCAATGGGTCAGAATCGACTTGATGGCAGTGAGTTTTGTTATTGTTGTTTGGGGGCAGATAATTAACATTCTCAGCTGCTAGCCAAAAGATTGGAGGTTTGAGTCCACCCCAAGGTGCCTTAGAAGAAAGGCCTGGTGATCTACTTTTGAAAAATCAACATTGAAAACCCTACAGAGCACAGTTCTACTCTGACACTCACAGGGGTTGCCATGAATTGGAGTGGACTTGATTGACAACTGGCTATCAGTTACACAATGTTCCACAGTAGTCTGATGGAACCCCACACATGTTTCACCACTTCAGGGGTTCCTGATGCCTGAGCACATTGAGAACTACTCCTCTCAACTCCAAAAAGACTTGTAATTGCCATTGGGTGACAGAAAGTTTGTCACTGACCATAGCTGCAGTGTTTTGAGTGTCTACAGTGTCCCAGATGCTATATAACTCATTGCTATTTGCAACTTTAATTTCTTTTAATCCTCACAATAGCTCTGGAATGTTCACAGCATTATTTGCATTTTTCAGATGAGGAACACTGATGCTCAGGGAGGTTCAAGGTGACATAGCTGTTAAAGTCAGAGCTGTGACTGCTCCTCTGTCTTCTCACTGAGAAACAGCTACTTGGCTGATGATTTCTGAGGTCCCTTGCAGCTCTGGCTGTCATGATGATGCTCTCAGGAGGAGTTTCCTCCATAGAGTATGTGAGCATCATGGGTATGAAAGTACATCCTATTGATTACACCAACTCACCTGCTGGGATCAGAAGGAGCCACCACAGGCCTAGTTTTGCCATGGATGGGAGTATAGGATGGGAGAGGTCCGTGACTTCAGAACAGGGGGCTGGCTTCTCCTGAACAGAAGAAGGGCGGCCAGGGCTCTGCTGTGTTTGGGGCTCAGGAAGCTGGTAGGGCCAAGCTGCCTCTGGACTCTGCGCAGCTCTCACTCTCTGCTGAACCTGAGCAGACCCAGGAAATGGCTTTTAGGATTGTACATCCTTGACAAGGAAGGGGTTTTGTTTCTCCCACTGCACAGAGGTGTAAAAGTTGAGGAGCTAGCCTTCAACAGGCCTTCCAGGGAACTAAGGCCCTTGAACTCTCTCTGGCTTGGTTGAGGAATCAGGTCAACCAGCCACTCTGCCCAGAAGATAGGCCCTGAGCTGTGGCACAGAGGGGGGCACAGGACGGAATTGAAGTCCCCATCACCTTGGTGGCAGTGTCTCATCTATGCCATGGAAATAATGATACTACAAAGGGTAGTCACGTAAAAGAAGAAGAGCACCATTCTCAAATGCCAAAAGGTGAAAACAACCCAAATGTCCACCAACTGATGGAAACATGCATAACATGGGATATATAAATATAATAGAATGTTATTCATCCATAAAAAGGAATGTCATGATGATAGATCCTGCAACATACATGGCCTTGAAAACATTATGCTGAGTGAAAGAAGCCAGCCACAATAGAGCACATTTTGTATGATTCCTTTTATGTGAAATGTCCTGAATAGACAGGAAGCAGATTGGTGGGTTACCAGAGTTCAGGAAGGGAAAATGGGGAGTGACTGCTTAATGGGTATAGGTTTCCTTTTGGGCTGATGAAAATGTTCTGGGACTGAATGGTGTTGATGGTTACACAACATTACGAATGTACTAAATATCATTTAGTACCTTGGCATAGTGGGTAAAGAAGTTGACCGCTAACCAGAAGGTTGGTGGTAAATTTTGATACGAGTATTTGAACACAATAAAAAAGGAATGTGAGTAAAAGTTCTTTAAATATGTAAACCACTAAATACATGAGGGAGTAAGAACTAGTATTGATGGAGTCATGAAGACTTTCTGTCTGGCATCCCCCTTGTCCCAACTCTCTCAGCACTGGTCACAGGCAGTATAGACACTTCACCACCCCTCACACCTATAAGCCTACCCCATCCTGCCCTCCTTTAGTAGAAGAAAGAGAACTGGACTTGGAGTTTGCAAATGTGGTTTTGAATTTTGGCTCCTAAGAGCCATTTCTTGGGTTCACCTTGGACAGGCTACTCAACCATGCTGGGATTTTGTCAGATCTATAAAATAAAGATAGCATGTACCCCTGCCCTACCCACCCTTCAGGACCAAAGAAAGTAGCAGATGGACTCCCACCCATGAAAGCCCCTAAGCACTGGAGAGCTGGATAGTGCTCTGTTACCAGGACACAATGACCCAATGGCATCACATATTGATCAAGTGTGCCAGCTTGGGGAAAGAGAGGGTACTGGAGGGATTCGATGTGAATTTCAAAGTGTTGACATTCCTGGAACATAAAATTGATTGAGATAGGCTTTTCCAGAATATGTTTGGAGTGGCATCCCTGAATGATGCAAATGGTTAAGCATTCCACTACTAGCGGAAAGGTTGGCAGCTTGAACCCACCCAGAGACATCTGGGAAGGCAGGCCAGGCGATCTGCTTCTGAAAGGTCACAGTCTTGAAAATCCTGTGAATCAGTTCTACTCTGACACATGGGAGTTGCATGAGTGGAAATCTATTTGACAGCAATTAACAACAACAACAGAATCAATCCAAAGTATGTATGGAGTAGAATACCCTCCCACTTCAATTTTCTTGGAATTTTGAATTAAAGACTTCCTAGAAATTGATCATTACATTCACTCTCCTGTTCCTTCAGGAAACTATGGCTGCACATCACCAGCCACACTAGTCGCCACACTACAACCCACTCCTGCCCCAGGATCCACTCTTGGTGGTCCTAGCTCTCTTAGGAGGGCTGTTGCTTATTCCTCGCCTGTCCCCTAAACCCTACCTGGCATCTCTGTCCTGAAGTGGAAAAGGCCAGTGGTTCCTAGAGGGTGGCTGTTGTGAAGCACCTGCTGGGTGCCGGGAGAGGACAGTCCACAGCCCAACCAGAATGGGGCCTCCAGAGACACCATGAGGTTGGAGCAGGGGGTCCTAGTAGTTGGCAGCTCCCTCCTTAGAGAGTTCCCCAAACACTCTTCCCCCCCCCCCCAATCTGCAGCTGCTTCTGTCCAAACAACAAATTGTATGCTAGTGCATAATGTCAGGAGCTCTCTTACTGGAGAGTTCTGTCTGCTTTGTATATATATAAACTAGCGTCTCCCTCCAAATCATGCACAATGGTTGTGTCACCATCCCCCACCTGGGCTCTCAATACCTAAGTCGCAGGTGTCAGTGAACTGCTGAGCCATTGCCTCAGGGTCTCAGGGTCTCTGACCCTCAAAGGTACAGGAACTTATCTCCTGGGGGCTACCCTAAGCAGATCCACTCCAGAGGAAATGAGCATAGCTAACTTTGTCCAAAGGAAGCTATCATCACCATTTTGCTCTTTTAATCTTTTTTCTTATGTACATATTGATCACCTGTGTTGTCTCTAGGTGCAAGGATTAGAAGAATATGTATGTATATATCAATATATGTATCAATTCATAGCAACCACCGTTGGGTTTCCAAGGCTTATAAATCTTTACAGAAGCCAACAGACTCCTCTGTCTTCCATAGAGCAGCTGATAGGGTCAAACCACTGACTTCTTGGTTAGCAGACAAATACTTTAACCATTACACCACCAGAGCTCCATATATGTATATATATGTAGTTAGGTAGACATACGTACATATAAATATATACTATGAATATATATGTATGTATATATACAATTTTCTGCATTTTCCAAATTCCCTGCCATAAGCATGTATTAGTTATGTAATATAAAAAGTATATTAAAACCCACATTCTTCCCAAACTACATGCAAATTTGAGACTCCCTTCCTCCATCTGAATGGAGTATGAGTAATCAAAAGTCAACTGTGTTAATTGGAATCATCTTAGGGCAGAAACAAGAATGACACTAGGAGATGGGTGTCATCCTCTGAACTCCTCATAGGGGGAGGAGAGGGCAGGACAAAATGTCCACAGGGACTTTTAAGAAAAGCAGAAGTTCCCAGTGTGAGCTTCTTCAGGGTAAGA